AGGACAGACCTCCATCCCTGTCTCTTAAAAAGAAATTAGTGGTCTCATATGTCACAAGCAAGGAATGGCATACAGACTACCTGTAGGAAGAGACAGCAGGATCAACCAAGAAGGGAAATAAATAACCCACAACCTGTGAATCTCCCTTGTCAATGGCCTCTGATACATCGTAAATAAATTGAAGCATCTGATTGGTCCAGTTAGAAGCTTTGCTGAGTCATTTTCTGGGCTTAGTGCCAATGTCTGTGGTGGAAGGATCTGGGCTTCTCGGGCTTGTCAGAGAAACTACACATTTCTGGGGAGACAACTAATAAAGGGAGAGGTTGTGCCCTGGTTCCTTTCTCCCACGTTTTTGCTTCTGTGTTCTACTCGTATGCATTTCAAAAAATAAGGTGGAACATTTGAATTTTTCTCTTCCTGTCTGACTTCAACCAAGAGCCCACCTAATATAGATACAGGCTTTTCTGTGATTTTTTCCCTCAAAACTCATATTTTGTATCCCTCTTCCTCTTTCCCTCCCCATTCTCAAGGGAGTAAGAGGCGTTGGATGTGGTGTACGTGGTCTTTTATTGACGGTGTTAAAAAAAATCATTCCCCAATTTACCTGACAATTAAAATAGCTCTTCAATTGCTATTTTGGTGACTTTATTATTTTTTTATTGAAATATAATAACCTACAACACTATGTTAGTTTCAAGTGTACAACATAATGATTCAATATTTCTGTACATACAAATAAATCACCGTGGTAAGTCATTACCATCTGTCATCACACAAAATTATTACATTATTATCGACTATATTCCCCACACTGTACATTTCATTCCTGTGACTCATTTATTTTGTAACTGGAGATTTGTACCTCTGAATCTCCCTCATCTACTTCATTCATTCCCCCCACCCCCATCCCCTTTGGCAACCACCTGTTTGTTCTTTGTATCTATGAGTCTTTCTGCTTTGTGACTGCTTGCTCATTTGCTTTTTAGATTCCACATATATGTGAAATCATACAGTGTTGTCTTTCTCTATCTTATTTGTCTTGGCATGATACCCACTAGGTCCATCCATGTTGTCGCTAATGGTACGATTTTATTTCTTTTTTATAGCTGAGTATTATTCCATTGTGTATATACATACACCACATCTTCTTTATCCATTCACCTATCAGTAGATACTTATGTTGTTTCCATATTTGGCTACTGTAAACACTGCAATAAACATAGGGGTCCATATAGCTTTTCAATTTTTGTTTTCTTTGGAAAAATACCCAAAAGTGAAATTGCTGGATCATATAATATTCTATGTTTAAATTTTTGAGGGATCTTCATATTGTTTCCCATGGTGGCTGCACTAACTTACATCCCCACCACCAGGGCATGAGGGTTTCCCTTTCTCCACATCCTCGCCTTCACTTGTTATTTGTTGTCTTTTTGCTTTTTGCTCTTCTTTTTCAAGATTGTTCTGGCTATTTGGAGTCCTGTGTTTCCATACAAATCTGTTTTAGCCATTTAATTAGGGTTGGAATTATCTTTCATTTTCTTTAAAAATTTTACTACATTCCCTTAAATATCTGGACCTGGAGCTATTCTGGGGGTAACTCTTTGATAAATTTCTCTGTTTCTCCTTTGTAAATAATTCTGTGTAGATATTCTAACTCTATATGGGTTGTTCTGTGTATGTTATATTTTTCAAGAGACTTATTCTATTAATCCAAATTTTCAAGTTTTTTTCATAAACTTGAACAAAGCAGACTCTTCTGACTTTTCCTCTGTTCCTATATTAGTTTGTCTTTGTCAGTTTTTATTTTATTTGCAACTTTTCTATTTTTTTGATAAGGTTTGCCAGTAGTTTATTTTCCTAAAAAATTTTGAAGGTTCTGAATTTATGCATTCTACTGTTTTTCAGTTTTCTAACTCTTTAATTTCTACTTTTATCCTACTTTCTACTCCTGCTTTCATTTGCTTAATTTTGTTTCCTTTTCACTTAATTCACTTGGTTTCATTCTTTCCTTTCATTGATATAAGTAATTAAGATCTTGAATTCTCCTCTGAACACTGCTTTAGTTATATGCCAAATATCTCGTATATGTGTACAAAATGTCTATACAAGATTGCTTATAAAAGCAAAAGACTTCCAATCACCTAACTACCCGTCAATAAAAGGAGACAAGCTAAATGAAATATGGTACTTCTGTGAAACAGAATACACTATGACCATATATTTCTAAAGTTTAAAAGGTAAAGTTCAGAACAGGGAACTTAGGGAGCTGCTATTTGTGAAAATAGGGAGTGAGAATATATACCTATACATACGCTTAAGCATATATATAAGTTTCTCTGGAAGGATAAAGATAACGCAAGGGCTATTAACAAACCATGGGGAAGGGCGGGAGTGAGGCTTTCCTCTGTATACCACTTTGTGCCTTTTGAATTTTAAACCACATTAACATATTGCCTATCCACACGAATTCTATCTTTAAAAAAGAGAACAGTGCAAGGGTAAGTGGATACAGGGAATATAGGGGACTCTTTTGAGAAGATTTGTTGTAAAGTTGGGCCAAGTCCACCTGTACCTAGCTCTGAGACCCAGGCAAGTTAGTGTTTCTAATCTCCGTTTTCTCATTCTTAGAACTGGGATAGTAATACTCATTACACTGGATTATCTTAAGGATAAAGTAAGACAATATCTGGCCGGCACTTAGCACAGCAGTAGCACACAGGCAGCACTCAATGAATGATGATTGCTGATACTGAATTATTACAACTCATAAACGTTCTTATTCTCAGCATTTCTTAGGACCAGCAGATGGCATCAGACTCAAGTAAATGGATGCTCCTTTCACTGAGCACCCAAAAGAGGGAATCTTCCTAATTCCCCAGTCCTTTTCCTCCCAAATTCTGACACTTCCACATTTCCTCCTCTTGAGTCCCGACTGCCGTGCGGACTGCATGTGGCTGGCCCACGCGGCTGGGGCATAAAGGACTTGAAGTTCAATGCCGTTCCCACGCTGGGCAGGGCAGATGGGGTGGGAGTCTGTTTGTGGCTCCAGAGTAATCTATGAGTTTCCTAAGGTTCTTCCTCTCCATTCATATCTCCTTTGGAAAGAGTAGCACAGGACTGAGTGGGAAAGACACTGAAGGTAAGTGACAAGGAGAGGGGGAAATTAATGGGCAGAAGACAAATGGCGGTGGGCAGCAGGAGAGGAGAGTGAAAAGAACTAGAACTCTGGACCAACCAGAGTCACTCATCTGTGGTTACAGGGCAGACCACACCTGTGGGATTTGTAGATGACTCTAACTGTCAGGGAACATTTTTCTGCATTCCTGAAATAAGGCTTACCCAGGAGTTCCCATGATACAACAAACTTTGATGGCCTCTTAAAATCCTAAGGTCTGCGCATCTCCCTACACTGCCCATCGCAGCTGTCACTGATTAGCTGTGTGATTTCAGGCCACTTTCCCTCTCTGTAAAATAAGACTTGCTAGCTACACTATGTTTAAGATATCTTCAAAGTTTAGAGTATTATGAGTCTATGGGTATCATTGTACTGAGGCTATCGTAGAATTTTAACAGGTCTTCTCCCATGAGGACTATAGTTTCCGTAAAGTTGGGAGACACAGAGATTATTATTCCTAATTTACAAGTAAAGGAGGGACATTTGGTGGGGAGGGGAAGGAGTCAGGCCAGGCTTCTCCCTCTTTCAATGTATTTCACCCTCAGTGAAATTTGAGAGATAAACAGGTGTGGAGCCATCGGGCAGCAGCAGGATGAATGAGGCAAAGATTTATTTGCATAGGAAACTCCCTCTTCTGGCCTCACCCTGCTCCCAACAGTTGCCAGGCAGAAAAAAAAAAAAATCCAACAAAAGTCCTGGCTAGTTCATTGCCAGCCTGGAAAGTACCTGCTACTTCCAGGAAAGAGAAAGTTTCAGTTTCCTAGAATAGGAAACTTCAAATGTAAAACCCTTCCAGCAACCAGTAATATGTACAGCTTCGGATTTTCAGTGAATTACATGTGTAGGGAGCATTGAGAATGAGGACTGCGGAGGAAGGAGATTTATTCGTTTATTCAACAAATATGTATTTATTGTCCATTATGAATCGAGTCCTGTACCAGGTGTAGATATAAAGCTTAATGAGATACATGGCCTCCCCTCAGTCCCGGAGCTCCCGGCCTGGTGGAAGGACCGAGGTCCACGGTGGCAGGTGGAGAGAGGAGCAAGAACAAGGAGTGTGAAAGAGAGAAATCCCAGGAGCAGAGCGACAGGAGCAAATGGAAAGGGCTCTTTTTCCAGACTGAGAAGATAAGGGAAGGCTTCCTGGAAGACCTACATCCTGAGGTGAATCTGAAAGAACCGGGGTAAATCCAAGAGTGTGGTTCAGGGAGTCCCAGGAAACACGACATGCAGAGGACAAAGGCCTCAGCAGGGCAGGAGGTTTGCTGTGGATGGAGCTTAATCCAGCAAGAAATGGGAAGACAAATGGGCTAGAAAACGTGTCTCTGAGGAAGATCTGAGCAGAAAGGGGTGAAGACGCTGGAAGGATTTTACAGAAGTGACATCATCCAATGTGTCTTCCAGAAAGAAGAACGACTTTGTGAAGACTGGCTGGAACAGGGGAACCAAGAATCAGGAAACCCCTTTGGAGATGAGATCATCAAAGGCTCCAAATGAAAGTGATAACACTGGGCCTCGGGAGAAGGTGATGGATTCAGAGCTATTCAGAGCTTCAGGTAAAAGAGCTTTATTTGACCTGATTACAAGGTAGATCATGACACAAGATGCAATATAATTTATGGGTCAAGGGTGTGGACTCTGGGGTCAGCACTGGATTCAGATTCCAATTCCACCACTGTGTAACCTTGAGAGAGTTATTTCATCTCTTTGAGACTCAAGGTCTCTCATCCATAAAATGGGGATAATAACAACCAACCTCAAAGGGCTGACGATAAGGATTAAATGAGAATACGTGAAAAATGCTTAGCGTAGCTCCTGCTCATATTAAAACTCTGTAAGTAGTAGCTATTATCAATGTTTTATTAATACTGTTAATTAGGGAACTGTGCTCTGCCCCTCCACACCTTAGCTCCCCCCAAAATATCAGACCCTGATGCGAATGGGGAAAGATACAGAAAGGCAACTTCATGAATATTTATGTCATACTGGTTAATATGTATCTCAAACAACAATTAAAAGACTGATAAGAC